TAAAAAACATGAAATTGAAAATATTTCAATTTTAAACCAATGCATTCATAAAGTTATGCTACTGAAGCTTCATTACAAAGATAGCTCTAAATAGTAAAATATAAACTTTTTTAATAATCATTTTACAAAGAGAAGTACACCAATAGCAATGTAATTGCAATTTATTGTCAGTTTCATGGATAATATTGACAAATAATGCATGCCAATTTATAACAACTACATAACGCTAGTTTAATGAAAAAGCTGATGTAGTAGTAAATTAATAGTTGACTACGTTTTAGTAAAAGAAGGAAACTTTACTGCAGTTCTAAATTGTAGATTCTCTTTTGGTTTGGAAGTATCATTCTACGACTATCTAACAACATACAACATTTATTCGATTTAGGAACTGATTACCCAAACGAAAATTGTCTCTTCAATTTCCTTTACTTAAAATTATTTGGTAGAGCTACCTGTTGCTTATATGGACACTACATAATTGAGTCCCCGAAAAAAGCTGAACAAACTTTTAACCTTTTGCAGTAAGTAATAGCCTTTTATCTATAAATTATTACCTTTATATAATTTTATAACAATTATAAATTTCCATAAATAATATTGATAAATAATCTATGCCAATTTATAAGAACCATGTAATATTATTTGTCTGAAAAACTTGCAGTATAGTTGACTAAGTTACTAAATGCAGAAATTTCACAGCTCCTATGTGATGTAGATTATCTTTTGGCTTGAAACTATTACCCTATTTCAATCTAATAATATGTAACATTTGATTTAGTGGCTGATTACCCTCACCGAAATTACCTCTTCGGTTTCCCTAACTTTGTACGATAGGGGGTTGGTTCTTTTACAGTTTTTACATAATTGGGCCCCCCAAAAATGCCAAGTAACTTTTAACCTTAAGCACTAAAAGGATTACGGTTAAAGCTTCCAACTAATTACAACCTTCCAAAGCCACCGTCTCTTGCCCGAAAACGCTATGGGATGACCGAAGATAAACAAGTTTATGAAAAATGGATTTCCAGAAATTGCTTGCCGCAACAAATATTCCATCGATTTTCGGCAATTTAAAATTGGCGATCATTACCCGTCAGGAACTGTATCTGAAGGTAAGGCGCACAATTAGCTGCCAAATGGGGATTGAGTTTTGCTATCCCCCCCGCAACACAAGTTTCCAAACAAACAAAATGGATCTTTTCGAAAGCAATTTTTTCTATCTTCCCACGGTTGGCTAACTTTATCTCACTTAATTGATAGACGATGCGCCCCAAAAACGCGCAACAGTCGATCACATATACACAGGTGATCAGAGGCATGTTTTATTTTTGTTATGCTATTATCTGCTGAAGGAAGAGTTTTTCGATTGTAGCCGAAGAGAATGTATCATTATGCGATGGTGCTACAAAGTGGTTTTCGTGACCATCGGGGCAGCTGCGTCGGGGGCATTTATAAGGGTTTTTTTGTGCTGGGGTGGGTTAATTTTTTTATGTGTTGGATCGTGAGGGGAGCAGCCCAGTGGTTTGCGGTTCTATGCATGGGGCAGCTACTGACGAGTGTACAGTCTCTCCCCACTGTTGTCCGGTGACAGACTTATCTGATAAAAACCACGATCTATTACGCCCTTACAAATGGCGTATCGCCTCTACAAATGTCTGAGCATTGGAATGTAAATGAAAGGATTGCGGATGTATTTTTTTGTGTGGAAGAGTTGCTCGTCTTTGATAGCTTAAATTAGAGGAATTACGTATACATGTTTTTTTATTATTATTCGATTTCTAAATTATATATAGGAATAAATGAATTTGGTGATTGATTGCTATTAAATGATCTTTAGTTTAAATATCATTACGCTTACAATGTCAAAAGAAATTAAACCATTGCGAAACTTTTATTTCAGAGTATGTATACATAATGAGTAAGAATTGAAAATTTTAAAAAATTTACCCTACATAAATTAATATTGAAATTGAAGTAATCGGAAATTAAAAATACATTTCAAATTGGGATAGTTATCTTACAAAATTGGGATGGTTGAGGAATTTTTCTATAAACTAATTTTTACTATCACGCTTTTTTTTTTTTTTTTTAATAAATGAGATTTTAACAGATACGCATTGCCTTAACTTATAAAAATATTAAATAGTTTTTTTTTTTCGTCTTTTCTCTTTGAAGTCTTAACCTATCAAATACTAATTTTTTGTTATGTTAGTACTGTTATTTTTATAAAAAAAATAACATTAAATAATAAAAAACAATAAGTTGTTAAAACAAGATTGCAATGGCTGAAAAATAGAATTTAGTCCTCTCTCTTGCTCAGGTGATCCAAGGTTCGAGTACGAACTGTGGTTGATGGCTGATATGTTACTGTACACATCCTTTTGCATTGCAGAAATACTGTATAAAATTATGGTAAAAAGTTCTCGGACCCTGAGTGCAGCTTTCGTAAAATCCCTTTTACCATAAAATTCATTTTTACCGTATAATTTTAAACCGTAATATTTATTTTATTTAATTGATTCAGAGATTGTACAGTAAATACAGGAAAAATTTCGGTTAATCAAATTTTTTGTTCCGTACAATTTTACAATAAAAACCGTTTAACAGTAAAAAGTACCGGCACCCTAAGTGTCGTAATTTGATCTGGAATTTTTTACAGTGTGTTCTGCACTATTTACAATTTTGACATCAAACATTCTTAAGTGATAAACAGATTATCGATTAATTTATAATTGCTGTATTATAAAATGAGGAAGATTTCCTCTATATTCTATTGCATGAAAAGCTTAATGCAATATGATGATAAGACGCATTTATAAATTTATAAGGAGAGCATTTTTTGTAGAAAAGCTACATTTTCCATGTAGGCTAACCGATGTTATTGTATGTAATGTGCTGTTATATATTGGAAATCCCGGGTGTTTAAAAATTTTGTAACTGTAAAACAATACTTGGGAAGAGTTTGATGAAAAAAATGTTCTCTTCTGAAAAAGTGTGCCTTATCATTATATTTCCCAAGGCCCTCACGTGCAGTACAAATAATGAGAGCTAATTTCAGTAAAATAGTTTTTATGAAGCTAGATTTAATACTTTAAAGTCAAGTTCAGGAAAACAAAAGAAAACCGATAGTCGAATCCAAAATTCAGTTGTTATGAATTATACCCTAGGAGGCTGCGCATTGGTTGTAAGAATTCGATGTTCATCTGCAATCGTTAGATAAGTCTTAGCACGCAATCTGTGTTTTTAATTTGCAAGCTAAATATAAAAAAAAAAATGATTGAAAAAAAGTTTATGTAAGGAAAAGATTAATGATAATCTGAGGATGCGTACTATATTATAAAATTAAACTTTCCATACATGGCAACACATTATGTGAGAGAGTGTAATTTTCACTCTTGATCTGGGACAAATGTTTTCACGTAATCGTGATCTGTTATGAGGCAGCTGTTCAGGAAATAAAACGGAAAAGCGTGCAACGCCCAATATAGTACCTCTAAAAATCGTGCACTGATCATCCCAAGAATCAGACACCCTTGCTACTGATAATCAGATATATATCATAAGTGAATATAATATGATCCAGGATAAACAGACTTGTGGACAAATAGAAGGCACATAAGGTGTGCCTGATTCGGGAATCAATAAATACTTTTGTTCAAAAACTAGATAACACAATTGATAAAGGATAGATATTTTTAAACTAAGATCTCAAAGATTTTGTAGTATTTATAGAAAATTTACTTTAGTTAAGAAACTGATGCTGCGAACTTGCTACTCTAAATTTACAAACTTTTTTCAAAAACAATAACAAATCAGTGATAAATTTTACTTAAGAAGAGTGCTCTGAAGAGGTCATGAGAAATGGTTTGTAATGTTATAATGCAGTACATTACTACTATTATACTTAATTCCAAGGACATTCTTTCGTTAAATAAATGTTATATTACATTAATTCAATGATTTCAAAATGTTTTTTAAAAAATCCACGTAAGTCGGATCATGTTGTTTGTAGTTGAGTTATTATATTGATTTTTTTAGACTCAATTATAGCCACACCTTTCTATTGCCCTTAATTTTTTTAAATTCTGTTTCGTTTCTAAGTAAAAACTTATTTTGCCGATTTTTAATGTAGATTACTATACGTTTACAATATTGCTAAACAAGTACAATTTTTATTGCCTATTTGTTTTAGGTAAATCAATGAATTATCCGCACTTTTCAATAATAATGAAATTGAAATAAAAATAAAAATAAAAACATGAAATTCAATATATTTTAATTTCTAACTTAATGTAAGAATTTGAATTTGAAAATCAAATTGTAGAATTTGCTAACAAATGTACAAATTCTGAAGAAAAAAAAAGTATCGACAAAACTACCAGAATATCGTAAATTTTACGATGTTTCCGTCTCTATGGGAACACCAAAAAGCTCGATAATTTTTATTGCAGAACTTTGGTAATGATTTTAGCAAAATTAACAATAAAATAGTATTTCATGACGTGCATTAAAATTTGGTAAATGAGGAAAAATGTGCTAATTTTATCATGATACCTTAGAGCGTAGCATAAAAACCATTTATTCAATTAAATTTACTTTTCAGTTTTGTATTTTTTTTTTTTACTAAATGTGTGGTAATAAGTTCTATAATTTTGAAAACCAGTATTTCTGGTAAATCGTTTTCATATGAACAGAAAAATTACCAAGTGAATGGTTTAAATACCGAATATTTTGATCTTATCAACCAGAAATATATTTCTTTCTCTCTCTCTCTTTTTTTTTAACCAGAAATGTCATCTCATCACCATAAAGTGCAAAAATTTTGACCGAAAATTTTTGCTGGTGCAATAATTTGTGCAAAGAGGAGTAAGGAACTGATTGAAAAACGAATGCGATTAATTTATTTAAAATTCTATTTGTGGAAGAATACATCAGAATTTAAATAATTTGAATTAGATTAATAAAGAGTAGATTTTTCAGTGTTTAAAAAGAAAAGCACTCACCATGCTGGAAGTAATTGGCTTTTCGAACGTAAACACAGATGAGTGCCATGAGTTGTAGTTGAGATAACCGCTGTCTGGTGGAGGAAGGCAGCGGTAGCAAATCTCGCAGATTGGCGATCTCGGCATTGATGAGGTCTCGGCGCAACTTCGACGCTCCTTTCGTCGATTTGTTCGCATCGAAACTGCCAAAAAAGGAAAAAGATACAGTTTAAGATTTTTCCCTCTTAGTTAAAATAACATTTTTTCAGTTTACATAGGTTCATATATTTAAGAAGAGCCCAAAAAAATGGCCAGCGAAATATTATTATGCTAAATGAATTCGTCATTTTTTGGAAAGTACTTTCTAAATTAATTTTATCTTAATTTACTTTTTTTTAACCAGTGCTGTTATCCAGCAATAATATCAAATTGTGAAAAACACACTTACAATAAATAAGTCAATTCGAATTAGAACGAAACTTTTAATGCGCATGATTTTAATTTTCCGTATGACTTTTTTTTCTGTTTTTAATTTATTTGTTGTAAATTTTTTTTTTCTTTTAAGTTAAAAAAAGGGGATTTTAGATTTTAGTGTCATACGTAAGCACTGCTTACACCCCTTCGCGATGTCAGCGAAAGTTAGTAAAACACAAACTTCACTCCTTTTTTGTGCTTATATAATATTTGAACGGCATTTTAGTTTGATAAACACATTTTTATTATATTTTAAAGGCATTTTTAATTCATCTGAAAAAATTCCAAATATTTGAATTGAAATTGAATGAATGAATTGAAATGTTTGTAAAAGGCTGGCGGCAAGACTTTCTTTACTTTACTTTTATAAAATATTCCAATTGTGCATAAGTTATTTTCAAATCAAAAATCACATAATTTGAAGAAAAAAAATGAAAACTGCACTTATTTTATCAGGTTTTCAATGCTTAACAAAAGCAAGCGATTCAAAAGTTATTTATAAATAGCTAAAACGCGAATGAATCGAAAAAGTAATGATTTGTTTGCGTAAATATATATATATGCATACATTATATCTTTTCTCACAAGGAATAAAACGAACTTTGAAACATGTAAAAGAGAGAAGAAGATAAAAATGATGCTTTGTTAGAACTTCTTCAAACCGTGAAAAGACGCTCTGGATTGTTAATTTTAATTACTATTATCCTTCATCTTCTTTGAAACTATTTTTATCTTTATTCCAACACAGCCTTTTGAAAAGCGTACCTGAAATACCAGTTTAGAATTTCTTCCTTAGTCAACAAATTAAAATCACCGACTATCAGTAACACCCCGGCTTGTTCCACCCTTCATTGAAAATCGACGAAAAAAAGCTTTTCTTCTGGATTTTTTATTTATTTATTTTTTAATTCTTTTTCTGTGGACAAAAACTTGACCATTGCTTCTGATATATAGCAACACCCACGCTATCATACACGCCCTTAAAGCAATCACATCAATATTATTTTCCTTACATAATGCGCAATAATTATTTAAATATGCGACTGAAAATTGGAATATACCAGATAATTCAAAATTAATAATTAATACAACTTTTGCATATAAATTTTGTAACACAAGAATTAGAGACAATTGCAAACTCAATGATAAAGGTTTGGTGAAATAAATATTAATGTAGTAAGAATAATGATAATGATAATGTTTATCTTTATCTTTTCTCAAAACATTGTTGTTTTTATCATTTATTTTTTAGAAAAAATAATTAAGTTCAATGGTTTACTTATTAAATCCTACTCTTGAGCGAGCTAACATTTAAAGAATAAATTTTAGCCTTATTTTTTTTAATCGAGTATTTGAATTTTTTTCTTTTTAAATTAAAAAGAGAATTTTTTTTTTTTATTATTTTTAACTTCAATTCTCAGCTTCATTTTTCGCATACACATTTCATGAAGAATGATTTACTAATTGATATTCTTTCAATTTTCTGATTCTTGCAGTTTTATAATATGAAGAGCACAAATTTTTACCCTAAACCTTTAGTTAACTGTCAAAATGACGTTTAAACTTAAAAATGGAGAGTCAATAATAATTATTTTTTGCTGTAATATTCTTTGCGTTTTTTTTTTCTTTTTTTCCTCCTTACATTTTTTTCTTTGTCCGTTACTTTTTCCTTTTCCTAACTTGAAAAAAAAAAAATACATATATACACTTTTTAAATAATGCTTTACATATTGAATGCTACTTCCAATGTGCAACTTTATAATTATAAAATTAAGACTTAAGTCCTTTTTCAAATGATTTAATCACAAAGTTGAAAGAAAAAAACAATAGTAATTCTTCATAACCAAAATGCTCCTATTAAGACATGAATAAATTATGTAGCGAAATAATTTGTAATAATAATCATGTTTAGTTGATAAAAGGGGTGAAATATTTAAAGTAATAAAAATATTACTACTTAGTATGTCATTTTTTTTCCTGCAAAGAAACATAGCAATTTGACACATGAATAGGGGTAAGTATCGTACTTTTATTTTTACATTTGTTTTTATTTTTTCCTCATAAAACTTCGACAGAAAAATTCTTTCTGTAACTTTTAACTAAAGCAATTCCATTAATTAAAATACTGTAATCTTTCCGAAATGGCGTCTAAATTATCCTTATAATTGAAACACATTGTTATTGGATCACTTACTACAGACAAGACGCCAAGACTGATTATTATAATAAATGTATCAAACATTTACAGGTATCTTTAAAAGACATATATATGCTTATGTTGTCACAGTAAGTTATGAATGCATTTTCTCTTAAATTTTCACTTAAACTCCAAATCCAATTGAAATCGAACTATTAAAATGCTATTATATGACTATGAATAATGTTTAAATGTTTTTTTTCTGACTAAAATATGTTATTATCAAGTAACTTTCCATAGACTAAAGTGATTTTTAAAATAAATTTATTAAACATTTTTCATTAGTCTTTATAGAGCCTATATATGCTCATGTTGTCATAAAAGATAATGAATGCATTCCATCTCAAATTTTCAAATATTAAAATCCAATTAAAATCGAATTGATTCCCGTTAAAATACGGTTAGATTCTTACAAATGATGTTTAATTGTTCTTCATGGCTAAAACATGTTTTAGTTGAGTCCCCAGTCAAGAGTTATAATGTATCAAAAGTTCTCCTGTCCTCTGCACAACGCATAGTCATGTCGCACAAGAAAAAATAAATCAATTTCATCTCAAATTTTCACTTAGTGTTCTAATTCCAATTGTAAAAAGAACAGAACTTTCCTCTTCTTGGAACCCTACCGTTGTGAGTTAACGGCTAGATCGTTTTCATTTGCATAACTGATGCTCTCTTATCTCTCTTCCATGAGTTCTCAGCTTGCAGCTGAACAACTATCTATTTGAAAATACTACCAGGTATCTCTTCATTAAGTATGCAATAGATTGTGAAGAGCTTCCCTCCACCCGGGGCCAGCTGGGTTTCGTGTTTGCAGTACATAAATTGTACCCGGTTAATAGAAATAAAAAGCGTAATGATGAAATATAAAAATGGTAATTTAAAGGGAGGAAGGAAGATGTGCTAAGTAAATACCCTGCAATAAAAATTGTCTCCAAATCAAATTATGTGTCTCATTAAAATTGTATCATTCGTTACTGGTGAAAAATTGCTCGCAGTATACATTTCTAATATTCATTCACAGAAATGTCTTGAATTCGGGTATAATTCAAATATGTAGCTTTCCTCAAATATTTCAAATAAGTATATGCCTTATTTTTTTACCTTCACTTATTGATTAAATACGAAATGGTGATTTAATGAGATAAATGAGGGAAAAGTAATACGAAAATGGTTATTTATTGGAAGAAATGAGGGGAAAAAATGCTAAGCAGATACTAAGTGTTAAAAATCTTTCCGAAAACAGATTATATATAATTGTACCATTCATTCCTGATGAAAATTTGTATGCAAGCATACTGTTCTAGTATTTATAAAAAGGAATCACAAAAATATCTTGAATTTTTTAGAATAATTCAAATATATAACCCTCTACAGCTATTTCAAATAAGTGTAAATCTTACTTTTTGCTTTCCCGTATTGATGAAATATTAAAATGGTTATTTATTGAAAGAAATGAGGAAAAAATGCTAAGCAGCGTGTTAAAAATCTTCTCGGAACCTCATTATGATTGTATCATTCATTAGAGGGGAAATAATTAGTCTTGAAATTGGATTACGTGTGACGTACTGACAAAATGCAACATGCGACGACACACACACACACACCAACAAAAAAAAAATCACTAAAATGTCTCGTAACAGTCTAATTCAAGTATCTCAACAAATAACTCTTTAAAATTACTTCATAGAAAATTATATCTTTTACCTCTGTGTTATGATGAAAGTCAAAAAATAATATTTTCTAAAGAGATACGAAGATGTGTACGAAACAATAAAAATTTTCTTGAAATCAGACAGAGTATCCCGTTATAATTGTAGAACTCATTTCAAATGAAACGTTATGAATAAATTTTTAAAAAAAGAAGGGGCAAAAACAGAAATGTGTTTAATTCCAGCATAATTCAAATGTGAAACTCACTACAAGTGTTTCAATACTGCTTTTGCTACGAAAAAAGTTTGAATTTAATTGGCACATAAAAATATACCTCATGTTAAGCAATTCTTCAATAAAAATTCTCTTTTCAAATAAATACATCCAAAAACAAATTCTCATTTAAGAAAAATAACCCTATACAAATGAACTCCCAGGAAGAAGATCACGTAGAGCAGAAATTATAGCTATAAATATTATTCTACTAAATCGATTTTGAATGACTTGTTTAAGTCATTTGCATACATGATTACAATAGAATATAAGAGCATATGAAAGCGCTAGAGGCACCTGATTAAGAAATATAATTATACAAATTATAGGATGGCCTTACAACTGATGTTGATGTTAAGACTGAATATTTTAATATAACATATTTTTATGTGGAAAAAAACTGCATAAAGCTGCATAGTAATTTTTAGATTACTTAGGCAAAAAAATTTTCGCTACTACTTTTAAGGCTATTATACCATAATACTGAAATAGAGCCGTAATACTAAAATACGTACCGTAAAACTACCGTACCGTAAAACTAAAATAGAACATTTTTTTTATAATATGTTTTGATTTATCCACTAAATATTTTGAAAGCTACAAAAATAT